TCCCCCCACTGTCGCCCCCGCTTCCCCCCACCGTCGCCCACGCTTCCCCCCACCGTCACCCACGCTTCCCCCCACCGTCGCCCACGCTTCCCCCCACCGTCGCCCACGTTTCCCCCCACCGTCGCCCACGCTTCCCCCCACCGTCGCCCACGCTTCCCCCCACCGTCGCCCACGCTTCTCCCCACCGTCGCCCACCGCCACCGTCGCCCACCGCCACCGTCGCCCACCGCCACCGTCGCCCACCGCCACCGTCGCCCACCGCCACCGTCGCCCACCGCCACTGTCGCCCACGCTTGCCCTCCCATCGTCCTCGCTTAGCCTTCCCTGCGACCTCCCTTCTCTCCTCCTCTCTCCACGTCGTCATCACTCCCCTGCCCATCACGTTCCCCCTCTTCACCATCGCTTCTCTACCCATGCCGCCCACCCTCTCATCCCTTCCCATCGCGTGGGGTGTGGGAGGGTGCGTGGTCAGCAGCACCCCATACACGTTCATTCATTACCCCTTCCCTCATCTCCCCATTCCTCATCTCTCCTTCCCTCATCTCCCCATTCCTCATCTCCCCTTCCCTCATCTCCCCATCCCTCATCTCCTCATCCCTCACCTCCCCATCCCTCTCCTCCCCAGCCCTCTCCTCCCCATCCCACACCTCCCCATCCCTCATCTCATCATCCCTCATCTCCCCATCCCTCATCTCCCCAATCCGCCTCACCCCATTCCGCCCCGCCCCACCCCATTCCGCCCCACCCCTTTCTGCCCCACTCCATTCCGTCCCACCCCTTTCTGCCCCACCCCATTCCGCCCCACCCCAGCCTCCTCCCCAGCCTCCTCCCCACCCTCCTCTCCAGCCTCCTCCCCACCCTCCTCTCCAGCCTCCTCCCCACCCTCCTCCCCAGCCTCCTCCCCAACCTCCTCCCCACCCTCCTCCCCACCCTCCTCCCCACCCTCCTCCCCACCCTCCTCCCCACCCTCCTCCCCACCCTCCTCCCCACCCTCCTCCTCACCCTCCTCCCCAGCCTCCTCCCCACCCTCCTCCCCACCCTCCTCCCCACCCTCCTCCCCAGCCTCTCTTCCTCCCCTCCCTTCTGCTTCTCCCCCAAGCGTCCTCCCTACCTCCCTTCCTCCCATCATCACTTCCTCCCTTCCTTCATTCCTGCATTCCTCACTTCCTCCCTTCCTCCGTTCCTCCCTTCCTCATTTGCCAGTTGTCATTCTTTTGCATGCTTGCTTCCCTTATACCTCAGCCACGTCACATCTGACTTCTTGATTTGTGTTTGGACAGGTCTGCTCTGCATCTGGTTGTGCATGTGCTGGCTGTCTGATAGTAACACACGTATAGCCATGCCATATATTGGATTTTTTTTTATAATACAGGATTATGAGCCTCAGAGCAGTCATACACATGACCAATACCAAGGAGTTCCAACAATTAATATATTACCGTATCTGTAAAGTAAGGGGAATCACCAGACTCGAGAAGGGAACAAAGCTAGGGGGTGTATGTGTAATGTTGCTTTCCGGTTTTGTCTGCTACACTGCAAGCAATAAACCAGGCCGTGGTAAAGCCACATCTGGTGCTGAGCACCTGTAACTGCATTGGGGGGTATGGGGGTGAGTGAAGGGGGAAAGACAGTAAACGGAATGAGCAGAGGGGAAGAGAAGAAGCAGGGGGGAACAGAGTGAGCAGAAGTAAAGAGAGTGAGCAAGGGGGAAGAGAGTGAGCAGAGAAGAAGGGGAGGGAGCAAGGGTGAAACAGAGGGAGCAGGGGTGAAACAGAGGGAGCAGGGGTGAAACAGAGGGAGCAGGGGTGAAACAGAGGGAGCAGGGGTGAAACAGAGGGAGCAGGGGTGAAACAGAGGGAGCAGGGGTGAAACAGAGGGAGCAGGGGTGAAACAGAGGGAGCAGGGGTGAAACAGAGGGAGCAGGGGTGAAACAGAGGGAGCAGGGGTGAAACAGAGGGAGCAGGGGTGAAACAGAGGGAGCAGGGGTGAAACAGAGGGAGCAGGGGTGAAACAGAGGGAGCAGGGGTGAAACAGAGGGAACAGGGGTGAAACAGAGGGAGCAGGGGTGAAACAGAGGGAGCAGGGGTGAAACAGAGGGAGCAGGGGTGAAACAGAGGGAGCAGGGGTGAAACAGAGGGAGCAGGGGTGAAACAGAGGGAGCAGGGGTGAAACAGAGGGAGCAGGGGTGAAACAGAGGGAGCAGGGGTGAAACAGAGGGAGCAGGGGTGAAACAGAGGGAGCAGGGGTGAAACAGAGGGAGCAGGGGTGAAACAGAGGGAGCAGGGGTGAAACAGAGGGAGCAGGGGTGAAACAGAGGGAGCAGGGGTGAAACAGAGGGAGCAGGGGTGAAACAGAGGGAGCAGGGGTCAGCAGGGAAGGCGATGGGGGGAAGCAGGGAAGGAGATAGGGGGAAGCAGGGAAGGGGATGGGGGGGAGCAGGGAAGGAGATAGGGGGAAGCAGGGAAGGGGTTGGGGGGAAGCAGGGAAGGAGATAGGGGGAAGCAGGGAAGGGGATGGGGGGGAGCAGGGAAGGGGATGGGGGGGAGCAGGGAAGGGGATGGGGGTGAGCAGGGAAGCGGATGGGGGGATGCTGGGAGGGGGACGGGGGAAGGAGGGAAGGGGACGGGGGGAAGCAGGGAAGGGGAAGGGGGAAAGCAGGGAAGGGGATGGGGGGGAGCAGGGAAGGGGTTGAGGGGAAGCAGGGAAGGGGATAGGGGGAAGCAGGGAAGGGGATGGGGGGGAGCAGGGAAGGGGATGGGGGGGAGCAGGGAAGGGGATGGGGGTGAGCAGGGAAGCGGATGGGGGGATGCTGGGAGGGGGACGGGGGAAGGAGGGAAGGGGACGGGGGGAAGCAAGGGGAAAGAGAGTGAGCAGGGGGGGAAGAGAGTGAGCAGGGGGGGAGAGAGTGAGTATAGGCGTGAGTCGGGAAAACAGGGGCGAGCAGAGGGGGTAAGAGAGCGTGAAGGGGGAAAATGGGTGAGAAATGGGGAAAGTGGGGTTAGAACAAGGGGAGTGAGCAGAGGGAAAGAGAATGAGGAGGGGGGAAGCGAGTGAGCAGGGGGAAAGAGATTGAGGAGGGGGGAAGCGAGTGAGCAGGGGGGAAGAGAGTGAGCAGGGGGGAAGAGAGTGAGCAGGGGGGAAGAGAGTGGGAAGAGAGTGAGCAGGGGGGAAGAGAGTGGGAAGAGAGTGAGCAGGGGGGAAGAGAGTGAGCAGGGGGAAAGAGATTGAGGAGGGGGGAAGCGAGTGAGCAGGGGGGAAGAGAGTGAGCAGGGGGGAAGAGAGTGAGCAGGGGGAAAGAGAGTGAGCAGGGGGGAAGAGAGTGAGCAGGGGGAAAGAGATTGAGCAGGAGAGAGTGAAAGGCAATGGGAGGGGAAGTTAAGGTGACGGGTGGGGAAGCGAGTGTGACGGGGGGAAAGCGAGTGCGGCAGGCGTGGAAGGCGACGGGAGGGGGAATCGAAGGCATCGGGGGGGAGAAGTGAAGGCGACGGGAGGGGGAAGTGAGGGCGACGGGGGGGGGGAAATGAAGGCGACGGGAGGGGGAAATGAAGGCGACTGGAGGGGGAAATGAAGGCGACGGGAGGGGAAGTGAAGGCGACGAGAGGGGGAAGTGAAGGCGACGGGAGGGGGAAATGAAGGCGACGGGATGGGGAAATGAAGGCGACGGGAGGGGGAATTGAAGGCGACGGGAGGGGGAAGTGAAGGCGACGGGAGGGGGAAGTGAAGGCGACGGGAGGGGGAAATGAAGGCAACGGAAGAGGGGGGGGAGTGAAGGCGACGGGGGAGAAGTGAAGGCGACGGGCGGAGCGAAGGCGACGGGCACGCGACGAGCTGCGGAAGCGATGGCGACGACGCGGGCGAAAGAGAGCGGAAGCGTGGGAAAGGAAAGCGAGGGCGAGGGGAGGGTCACGTTTGGGCGAACGGTTGCGATTCGATTTTCGCCACGAGTTTATGCTACGGAGTAGTTGCACAATAACCTGCATTTCGACACAATAATCTTCACCCAGCGCAAACTAGCTTTGCGCGTCATCATTGCAAATCCGCGCCACCCAAATCGTATGGCGCATCTACTCCCTTTTGAGTGAACGCCGACGCCCTGCCTTGTCTACAGGTATGGTCTATGCCTAATACTCTGCGTGCTATCTCAAACTGTGCACAGTTTGATAAGCTCGCGCTTTTCTGGTTGTGGGAAGGGCACCAACCATCATGGGAAGCGAGATACTTTTGTCGCAAATTGGTTTCGCGAGTGAAAATCTCTCGCAACCCAACCGAACCTCTCCGTGCCTGCCTCCCGAACCTAGTTTTTAGCGTTGACTTCCGTTGAGTAATTCAGGTCTTGGGCTTTAACACCTGCAACTTGAAGGGTAACGTCTCAGCAAGTTCGTTCTCACTCTGAGTATGAGATAGCAGTAAAAAGGGTAGCACTTTATTGGGAGCTTCAAATTTAGATCTTCTCATGTTCACGGCCTGTAATTCCTACCTAAAACACGAGCTACGCCCAAGGAGACCCACATTCCATATTTACTTCCTAGAAGAGACACATTATATCAAAATAACACACATTACCAGCACCATCTGCTCGTTAAAACCCGAAGCCTGAATTACAAAAACTGAGTCAACTCTTGGTTTGGGTTCGGACAAAATGAGATTCGGAAGGATCGCTGACACTTCTCTTTGGCGAAACCAATTTGCGAACACCAGGGTCGCAACACGCTCTGACGGGGCGACGTAAACCAACACAATGAGTCATAAGGCATTTTGTCTCCAACCTCAATGGATAGCAAAGCCGCGCGACAAAGCAACTAACTCACAAATGTGTGTCTAGTAGCCTAGCATCCGCTAAGCAACGACACACAAATCCACGTGCTACGTTGCTCGTACGATCTTAGATTAGGCACGGCGCGAAAAGGCAAGTAAGATGGTCCAAGGGCGCGGAATGCACGAGTGCGGCTCGTAGAAAAGGACGACTGCGACATAATTGGTCGCATACTACTAAGTAAATCATGCTTACGTTTGAGCCCTCGTCTGCTCCACCCTGCCCCTTCCCATCGCCATCACTTCAGCGTCCCGTCGTCGAGCCTTCGCCATCCCGTCGCCCTTCCTTCGCCATCTCGTCGCCCTTCCTTCGCCATCCCGTCGCCCTTCCTTCGCCGTCCCGTCGCCCTTCCTTCGCCATCCCGTCGCCCTTCCTTCGCCGTCTCGTCGCCCTTCCTTCGCCATTCCGTCGCCCTTCCTTCGCCGTCTCGTCGCCCTTCCTTCGCCATCCCGTCGCCCTCCGCCTTCGCCATTTCTGTTTCCCGTCGCCCGCATTCCCCCTTCCCATCGCCCGCCGCTTCCCTTCCCGTCGCCCGCATTCCCCCTTCCCATCGCCCGCCGCTTCCCTTCCCGTCGCCCGCATATCCCCTTCCCATCGCCCGCCGCTTCCCTTCCCGTCGTCCGCATATCCCCTAACCCATCGCCCGCCGCTTCCCTTCCCGTCGCCCCCATTCCCCCTTCCCATCGCCCGCCGCTTCCCTTCCCGTCGCCCACACTCCCCCTTCCCATCGCCCGCCGCTTCCCTTCTCGTCGCCCGCATATCCCCTTCCCATCGCCCGCCGCTTCCCTTCCCGTCGCCCGCATATCCCCTTCCCATCGCCCGCCGCTTCCCTTCCCTTCGCCCGCATATCCCCTTCCCATCGCCCGCCGCTTCCCTTCCCTTCGCCCGCCGCTTCCCTTCCCGTCGCCCGCTTTTCCCCTTCCCATCGCCCGCTTTTCCCCTTCCCCTCACCCCATTTCCCCCTTCCTCACTCTCCTGCCCCCTTCACTCACCCCATTTCCCTCCTCCTCATTCTCCTTCCCCCTTCACTCACCCCATTTCCCCCCTCCGCACTCTCCTTCCCCCTTCACTCACCCCATTTCCCCCTTCCTCACTCTCCTTCCCCCTTCACTCATCCCATTTTCCCGCTCTTCACTCTCCTTCCCCCTTCACTCATCCCATTTTCCTGCTCCTCACTCTCCCTCCCCCTTCACTCACCCCATTTCCCTCCTCCTCATTCTCCTTCCCCCTTCACTCACCCCATTTCCCCCCTCCGCACTCTCCTTCCCCCTTCACTCACCCCATTTCCCCCTTCCTCACTCTCCTTCCCCCTTCACTCACCCCATTTCCCCCCTCCTCATTCTCCTTCCCCCTTCACTCACCCCATTTCCCCCCTCCGCACTCTCCTTCCGCCTTCAGTCACCCCATTTTCCCCTTCCTCACTCTCTTCCCCCCTGCTCACTCTGTTTCCCTTCGCTCCCCAGGTGTTGTGGCTTTACCACTCCCCGGTATATTGCATGCAGTGTAGCAGACAAGAGTGGAAAGAATCAAGCCAGCCAGCTGGCAACTTCTATGCTAAGTTGCTAACTACATTGTCTGTTCTACGTGCTTCTTCGTAGTGGTCATGTGTTTGGCTGATCCAACTCTCTGAAATATTTTTTTATATAAAAAGATCCAACATTAATACATGTCATGGCTATTCGTATTATCATACAGCCAAAACATAACAACAAAAACATATGATGTGACATGGCTGAAGCAGCGGGGAAGCATGGTAGTACACAGGAATGACAATAGAGATGCAGGCAACACAAAGAGGAGAGGATGGATGGGTACATGACGGGCTGGGGAGAGGATGGATGGGTAGATGAGGTATGGGGAATGTGTCAGAATATAGCAGCAGGAATGATTGAACTATGAAAGAGTTGGGTACAAGTATGAAACCCTAAAAGGGGCTGTACCCCATATTGGCTACCCCACTACAGCCTACACATAGATAACATGCATATGCTTTGACACACCCCCATAGGCAAAGTGGGGGAGAGCAAGGGGTCACAAGACCAGTCAAGAGAAGCAAAGCAAGCTCAGGGTGGATCACAACGTCACCACACACACTGAGCACAAGTAAAGGGCCACAAGGCCAGTTCACATGCAGGGGTATATATGCAAAAACAACAGCACAGTGATCTCTACCTAGCAGAGCAAGCATGCAGGTATATATAGATCACAGTACAAGCAAAGTCTGTCAAACTAGGTTTCTCTGTTGTAGGCTGTAGTGGGGTAGCCTCTACTGAGTACAACACTTTAGGGTTAGACATTGCCCTACTTGTACTCATCCTTGCTTCCTAGTCCATAATTCTTGCCTCTTGATTCTGACATGGTTTCAGAGCAGTAGGTCCGTAGGACCGTTTTTTTCGGGCCCACCTACAGCTACCCCACGACTGTGACTGTGACTGCCTTTGCCTGTGACGTGCTGCGCTGCGCGCGCCGTCTGCCTGCTGCCTACTGTCTGCTGACTGAGCTGTCTGCTGCTGCTTCGCGCGCAGACCTAATTTTCAAGCGCTGCCTCGTTTTTACCCCTGCGGGTCGCCCTCTCCTACCCAAATCGCGCCTCGGCAGCCGCGTCGCGTCCTGCACACGGCCCGCGCAGCCCGCGTCGAGCCCGCGCAGCGCGCGCGCGGCCCGCAGCTGCCCCGCGCAGCCCGCCCCGAGCCCACGCGACGCGCGCGCGGCCCACACCTGCCCCGCGCGGCCCGCACCGAGCCCGCGCAGCGCGCGCGCGGCCCGCCGCTGCCCCGCGCAGCCCGCCCAAGGCCCGCGCGGCGCGTCCGCGGCCCGCAGCGCGCTGCGCGCAGTCCGTGCAGCCCGCGCCGCGCTCTACCCGCCAGTGCGCGGCCCCAGGCAGCGGCGCGCGCCACCCTACCGCCGCCACGGCCTCGCCCTGCCGCTGACATGGCCCCACCCTGCCGCTGACACGACCCGACCCCGCCGCTGACACGACCCGGCCCCGCCCTGCCGCCGACACGGCCCCGCCCTGCCGCTGACTCGACCCGGCTCTGCCGCTGACACGACCCGGCCCCGCCCTGCCGCTGACTCGACCCGGCCCTTCACTGTAGCCGCTGCTGCGGCCCCGCTGTCGCCGCCGTCGTGCGCCGACCCTGCCGCCGTCTGCCGAGCACCGGCCCTGCTCGCCCGGTGAGAGCCTGCTCTTCCCGCCACTGGTGAGCCCCTGCCTTGCTAGCGCGCTGCCGCGCTGCCTGCCTGCCTGCCTGCCGGCCTCCCTGCCTGCCTGCCTGCCTGTAGCGCCTGCCCTGCACGTGCTATGGCTGTTACTGCTGCTCCTGCTGCTACTGGCGGAGGCCAGATGCAGCTCCAGCGACGTCCGCGTGAGTCCCTGACGTCCCAGCAGCTGAGTGAGTGGTACGCTAGTTGGGGTTGTGGCGGTAGCCGTCGTGACTGTCGCCCTGGAGCTAGTCGGTCGGGAGCGTCTGGCAGTGGCCAGCTGCAGCTGCAGCGGCGTCCGCGCGAGACACTTACGTCCTGGCAGCTTCACGAGTGGTACGCTCAGAGTCGAGGGTCTCGGAGTACCGTTCGCTGCCCGTACGTCCCACGCACAGGTGATCGGTCTGGTCAGGCTTGCGGGACACTTGGTCACACCCAGTCCCGCTGCTTCGCCCGTCTGAGCGACGCCTGGCGCACAGAGTTTGGTGACGAGGCTGAGGTCCCCGCCTGGCTGGAGCTGCTTGGGCAGGGGGTAGATGTCTTTGCTCTTGACTATGATGCTATTCTCACTGCCATGTATGCATTGCCTACTAGTGATGACCGTGCCTGTTCCCTGTGCGTACCGCCTGACCCAGGTATAGAGGCTGCTGCTCTAGGTGCTAGTGCGTCTCCTGCGCTAGGTGCTGGTGAGGCTGCTGCTCTAGGTGCTCGTGCGTCTCCTGCTCTAGGTACTGGTGAGACTGCTGCTCCAGGTGCTGGTGAGTCTGCTCTCTCTGGTACTGCCCCTGCTGAGGCAGTGTACACCTTCACACTTGACTCAGGTGCTTCCCGCTCCTTCTTTCGCGACAGCACCACACTCACGCCGCTCCGTCGGCCAGTTGCAGTCTCACTGGCAGACCCCTCGAGGGGTCCAGTCCTTGCGCACTCCTCCACGGTCCTGCCGTGTCCGGCGGTCCCGTCTGGCTCCCTGTCAGGTCTTCACCTCCCCTCGTTCTCTACGAACTTGGTGAGTGGAGCTGACCTACAGGATGTGTGGGTTGACCAGTTCACCCCTGGAGGTCAGCGTGTGACCCACTGTACGTGCTCCCGGACTGGTCGGCACCTGGCCACGTTCACCCGAGAGCCTGGCTCGAGTCTGTACACACTGACCACTGTGTCCCCTCAGGTAGCTGCGTCTGCGTCTGCGTTTGCGTCAGGTCAGCTAGCGGCCCCCTGTTCGTGTCGCGCTTTGTCGCACCAGACCGTCCTGTGGCACCACCGCCTTGGTCACCCCTCGGTGCAGCGCCTTCGTCGCATGCACAGCCGTTTCCTTGTCTCTAGACTTCCAGAGACTCTGCCTCCTCTACCGCCCTCGCCTGCTCCTCCCTGTCTTCCCTGTGTCGAGGGGCGGCAGCGCGCCGCTCCTCACTCCTCCTCGTTCCCTCCCACAGAGGCTCCCTTGCAGACTCTCCACCTGGACGTGTGGGGCCCAGCCCGCGTCCGTGGACAGGGCCACGAGCGGTACTTCCTGCTGGTCGTCGACGACTACACGCGTTACACCACGGTCTTCCCCTTGCGCAGCAAGGGGGAGGTCCCTGATGTTTTGATCCCCTGGATCCGCGCTACTCGTCTCCAGCTCCGCGAGCGGTTCCAGTCGGACTTTCCTGTCCTGCGTCTGCACTCTGACAGAGGTGGTGAGTTCTCCTCAGACCTCTTGGCAGCCTACTGTGCGGAGCACGGCATCCGCCAGTCGTTCACGCTTCCGGCCTCTCCGCAGCAGAATGGGGTTGCTGAGCGCCGCATTGGCTTAGTCATGGAGGTCGCTCGTACCTCCATGATCCATGCGGCTGCCCCCCATTTTCTGTGGCCGTTTGCGGTCCGGTACGCCGCGCATCAGCTCAACCTCTGGCCCCGTGTCTCCTTGCCGGAGACCTCGCCCACACTGCTGTGGACGGGGAAGGTTGGCGATGCGTCGCGTTTCCGGGTCTGGGGTGCTCGTGCCTTTGTCCGCGATACCACCGCGGACAAGCTCTCCGCCCGCGCTGTTCCCTGTGTCTTCCTTGGCTTTGTCCCTGACGCGCCTGGTTGGCAGTTTTACCACCCCACCTCGCGCCGTGTCTTCCCCTCTCAGGACGTCACGTTCGACGAGTCGGTTCCCTTTTACCGTCTCTTCCCCTACCGCACTGCCCCTCTCCCCCCCCCGCCGCTCTTTCTCGCTCCAGGTGCTCCCCAGGTAGACCCCCTCCCCGCTCCCGGTCCTGCTCCTTCAGGTGTGTCTCAGGTAGACCCTCCTCCTCAGGTTGAGGTCACTGGTGACTCAGGTGCTGCTGAGGGTGGTGCTGCTGCTGGGGGTGCTGAGCCTGGGGGTGCGGAGCCTGGGGGTGCTGAGCCTGGGGGTGCGGAGCCTGGGGGTGCTGAGCCTGGGGGTGCGGAGCCTGGGGGTGCTGAGCCTGGGGGTGCTGAGCCTGGAGGTGCGGAGTCTGGGGGTACTGAGCCTGGGGGCGCTGAGGCGTCTGGTGAGCAGTCTCCCGGGAGCGGCTGTCTCCGTAGTCGCTCCGCTGGTGCCTCGCTGCTGCACTCTAGTCGTCGACTCCCTCTCTCCCCACAGCAGCTGTTTGAGTGGTACGCTGGCCGTCAGGGTCGCGCTGCTGGAGCTAGGGGCCCTGCTGCGGGAGGTGCTGGAGCTGGTGACTCTGCCACTGGAGTTGTTTCTACTGGAGGGTCTGGAGCTGCTGAGGGTGCTGGAGCTGGAGGTTCTGGAGCTGCTGAGGGTGCTGGCGCTGAGGGTTCTGAGTCTGCTGTTGCGCGGCTTCCTTGGAGTAGCCGCCTTCGTCCGCGTGTGCCTCTCACCTCGCAGCAGCTGCACGACTGGTACGGTCGCCGTCAGGGTCGCGCTTCTGGAGCTCGGGGCTCTGCCGCTGGAGGTACTTCTGCTGTCGTCACTGGAGCTAGGAGTGGTGCTGGTCCCGCAGGTGCTCGTACTGGAGGTACTGGAGCTGCTGGGGCTGGAGGTGCTGAGTCTGAGGGTGCTGCTGCTGGAGGCACTGAGGCTGGAGACCCTGGGACTGGAGGTGCCGGTTCTGGGGGTGCTGCTGTTGGTGGAGCTGGTCCTGGGGGAGCTGGCGCTGAGGGTTCTGGAGCTGCTGGAGGTGCCGGCGCAGGTGGCCCTGGAGCTGGAGGTTCTGTAGCTGCTGGTGGTCCTGCCGCTGGTGGCGCTGTAGCTGGAGGTTCTGGAGCTGCTGAGGGTGCTGGCGCTGGAGGTTCTGGAGCTGCTGAGGGTGCTGGCGCTGGAGGTTCTAGAGCTGCTGGAGGTGCTGGAGCTGCTGG